AAAAAAAAAAAGCACACGCTCGGGTCCCATTCCAGACCTACTGCACTAGAATCTACATTTTATCAAGATTCCCCTGGTGATTCTTACACATCTTCTTAGTTTGAGAAGATGACACAGAACTTCAGGATCAGATTCACAGAGAATCTGTTTTCCGAGAAAGGTCAGAGAAGACCAAAAGCCACACAAAAATAAAATTTTTTTTTTGATTCTATGCCATTTGAAACCCAGATTAAAGGTAGGCCTGTATTAAAGGGGACGGAATAACCTATTTAGAAACCAACTTCTGAAACCCCACATCCCTCCCTACCAAAGAAAACCACAAGAATTCAACTTGAGCTCCACAGCTCTGAATGTGAGCAGCTATCACATGCTGTCACCTCTCCTCGTTTTCAGTATTTCTCTCTGGTCATTAGGTCAACCAATTGGGGGACCAATGGATTACCATCGTTCTGGAGACAGATGGTTTAGACGGTAAAGGTAGATTGGTAAAGCCCAGTACCCTCAGTCAGAAGGCCAAGTAGAACCATACTTTTCGACCTCTATTGCTCCTTATGAAGATTCTGGCTGTGTTTGCTGTCTAGGGAGGTCTAAAAAGGGCAGATGTAACCACTTTTATAAACTCAGTACGTAGCAAACCATGTAACACATTATAAGGATAATTTAAGCAATGTTGGTTGAAGCTGTTAATTCTAAGAATCAAAACAGTAACTTGCTAAAAAAGTAAAAAACAAAAGAAGACATTCAGCTATCCAGGTTTCTAGAAACCAAAAAGAATGGGGAAAACAGCCTTAAGTCCAAAAAAAATAAACAAAGAAAAGAAAGAATTAAAACAAAATTTTAACTAGATAATCAGGCTGTTAGAATCCGGGATCACCAGGCACCCCCAAAAGCACTTGGAATCGGGGAGGTCCTATGTTTAAGCTCCTTATTTCCTTCAGTTTCGTTTTCTTGGAGCAGAGAGTTTTCCTGTGATGAATGAATATTTTCACTTGGTGATTAATCACAGCTATACTGGAAGACCTGCCTGCATGTTTCCTCCCACAGAATACTGCAACAGCTTCCTCAATGCCACAAACTGCAAAAGGGGGGCTCCCAAAATTGTTTTAATTGACAACCAACCAGGAAGTTGAGCATGGAAATCTCCACATGAGACATCTATAATTATAGTTCCTTCTAAAAAGAAATGGGCCATCTTCTGTTTGTCCTTTAATGTTGAGAAAAGGGCAGAACTTCTCCCCAGAGTCTTTAGTTTGAAAATATTGGTCTTTATCCGCATCACCACTCATTCTTTCCCTGAGCCCTACATGATGCTTTAGGGGAGCTTTTAAAACTTAACTTCCTAACAGTAAGTCCTTCTGAAAGGAGAGTTTCCTCAATTCATTGATCCTCTTTTGCCAAGCTCACTGGATCTGGACAAATTAAACATAGTAAAGATTTCCTAAGCCAATTCAGAGTACATTCTCTAAAAATTCAGAAAGCTTTTCTTAAACTCCAAGACAAAGAAATGAGAGAAAGGTAGGAAGGACAGGAGCGAGGAAGGGAGAGAGGAAGGGTTGGTGAGAGAGAGAGAATAAATCATGTAAAACATATATTTCCAAATCCGAAAGGACAAAACAATTCAACTAACATATATTGACCTTTATTCTATAACAGAGACATAAATAATTTTATGAATTCATATGACCTATACAAAAGACAAAATAAGATATTGCACTAAGTTTAGCTTGGGCTATTTGGATTTCGTATTAACTAAACAGATAAATCTACACAATTTAAGGAGTTAAGGCAAAACCAGATGATACTTCGAACACAACAGGAGGTTTGAAAAATAGGTATAATTCGAAACAAGGGCATCCCATCTCCAGTTAATAAAGTGGTCATGTCTAAGGGGAAAAAAATCCCTTAGGTTCTTAAAAAGTGGTTATTATCAATCACGTTAATTAAAGTGAGAAATAAAGTGTAAGATTTCCCGTGGAGGAGAGAGCTGTGTTGCGGAGGTTTGAGGATTGAGCACTTAGAATTCGGGTAAAAGCAACTTTTTCCTTGTTATATTTATGATCTACTCTTCCTATTAGAAAATATAATTTGGAAAATATGACTCTTTCACATATAGAATTAAAATACAACTATGAAGCATTCTTTTTTAAAGGGAAGTCCTGATGCTGGCCTCAGAGAGTAAATCTGCAGACAAGCCATTACCCTATTTGTAGAGAAGACACAAAGCCAGCAGTTACCCTAAGAAAACCAAAAAAACGAATTCCAAAGCAATAAAAGCAAGTGAAACCAGTATATCAACACAGCACACAATTCTTTGGCAGTATCACACAAATCGTTGATTGAAGTCAGAACTTTTATACAGTTCGCTAATTCTCAGACCCAGTTGCCGGTCTTTGAAAACTAACTAAATAAAATGCCACATCTGCAACGAATTCAGTAATTCCAGGAAATTATATTCAGAATAAACCTTGCAGACAGCTTTGAACTGTTACACTTAAGCATAGATGGGTATCAACTGCTGTGAGTCCCGATCCAAGTACACTGAAACGCACACGCACAAAAATAACCTGTGGAGCTCAGTACGGCTTCAGACAGGCCTAGCATCCTTACAGGGAATCCATATTCACCCATGAGAAACCAAGAAAAGACATCAATCCAATGATGAGGAAATGATCTTCCAGGAAGTCAGGGGTGGGCCGCCCCTCACCCGGATGAACATCGCGAAGAAATCAAATTCTATAGGGGGAACACCAGAAAGCCAGAGAACGTGGAATACTGCCAGCCTCCGACCAAGTTACCTTTCTCCAGTTTTAGGTAAACCTTATCCTCTTTATCCAGATAGAGCAGGACCCCATTCGTGGCAGCCTCACGTGTAACGTCTTTATCCCCAGCAAAGGCAGATATTACTGGTTTTCCATTTAACATCAGGTTAACCTAAAAGGGAAAAAAAAAAAAACACACTGAAAATCTCTCTCTAAAGTCAAAACAAATGAATGAATAAAACAAAACAGAAACAGACTCACAGTTACAGAGAACAAACTAGGGTTACCAGTGAGGGGGGGGAAGTGGGAGAGCAAGATAGGGGTAGGGAATTAAGAAGTAAAAGCCACTATGTATCAAATAAATAGGCTACAAGGATATATTGCATAGCACAGGGAAATACAGACATTATTTTATAATAGCTTTAAATGGAATATAATCTCTAAAAATGTTGACTCACTATGTTGTACACCTGAAACTAATATTGTAGATGAAAGAAAAGAAAAGAAAGGAAGGAAGGAAGGAAGGAAAGAAAGAAAGAAAGAAAGAAAAGAAAAGAAAAGAAAGGAAGGAGAAAAGAAAGAAAGAAAGAAAGAAAGAAAGAAAGAAAGAAAGAAAGAAAGAAAGAAAGAAAAGAAAAGAAAAGAAAGGAAGGAGAAAAGAAAGAAGGAAAGAAAGAAAAAAAAGAAAGGAAGTCAAAGCATCTATGAGGGGCAGGGGGTAAAAAATAATGTCTAAAATGACCAACCTGGTAAAATAACTGATGTTCAGTAAATATATCCCTTTCCTTTCAAATTAGCAGATAGTGGTGGCTAGGCTTAGTATGATCTTACCAAGCTGATCTTTCTTAATTAAAAAAAAATTTTTTTTTAATTTCTCCCACAGAAATTTCCTTAAATGCTCACAAAAGAATACCATCCATGGAGAGCAACCTAGCCATGTGAAAACTGGCTTCCCTTCAGCACATAACTTAAGCCTACTATTGAATACTTTATTTACCTCTCGTATTCAGTAGCAAGTTTTTGGCAATGACGCGAGCCTGTGGCTTCCCAGTACATCAGCAAAAAGAGCCCCAGTGCCCTTTGCTCTGAGAAACCCAGGTACCGCAAGGTTCTACTAACATCCTTGCAGGTTTACTGTACCGCTGAGACATGCAGAGTGCTAAAAATCAGTTGAAATTATGGAATATATGTGTTGTGATTTCTTCATTTTCCCTGATAAGAAATGTGTATTAAAAATAATAATCACCACTACCACTGAAGATTTTAATGATGCATAATTAGCAAAGAATAAAATCAAATTTATTCCCTTCTCTCCTTACTACAATTTTGATTATACTGTGTTAAACATTACAAAAATTTCTAAATGTTGGGGCTTGGGAAAAGCTTTTCCATGGAAGCAAATTTGTTTACTAGATATTCATTCCTTTTATGTTAAAAATAATATTGAATAACTTAAATCTGAGACCTATCAATTTATCCATTCACTAGGATATGTAAAAGTAGTAGATAAGTGTGTAATCTATCATTCACATGGACATAGTATACAATACAAACACTGAACATACGATAAAAAGTTATCCTAGAATTCCATAGACATGTATTGGTGTTACTGGGTGCTGGCATGTTAGATACTATAGGAACTAGCTTCATCATTGTCCTTGAGTGTAAATTCAAGCCCGTTCCTTAGAAAGCACAACACAAAATATATTAACTGTGAAACTGCAATTGGTAAGAATTCACCAACATCAGAGTAACTGAGGATAAACTACTTAGAGAATAAGCACAGCACATCGTTTCTTTAAAAGTATATTGAATAATTGTTCCTTCATAGATTTATTCTCAGTCGTTAACTGTAGCTCATAATTTTAACGATGACAGCAAATTTGTTTTATCTATTTAGTAGTTACTTATAAAGCTCTGATAATCTTACTAGTTTTTTCCTTACAAATTCAGGTAATTTTTGCACATGCGTTAAAAGCAATCAAGATCTTATAAGGAGATTTGTGTCGCTGAATTTTTACTAAGCAATATATATATATATATTTTGTTGTTGTTGTTGTTGTTTTTGCGGTATGCGGGCCTCTCACGGTCATGGCCTCTCCCGTTGCGGAGCACAGGCTCCGGACGCGCAGGCTCAGCGGCCATGGATCACGGACGCAGCCGCTCCGCGGCACGTGGGATCCTCCCGGACCGGGGCACGAACCCGTGTCCCCTGCATCGGCAGGCGGACTCTCAACCACTGCACCACCAGGGAAGCCCTCTAAGCAATATTTTTTAAGTGACGTTGTTATTAAGGTAATAAGTTCAATTGCTTATTCTTCTATATGCTTCTTGTCACATGCCTTGATAGATGTTATTGGAAATTAAGTGTTTTAAAAATAAACTACTATAAAGATGATTGTTTATTTTTACAACGAAAACACATCTTTGGATAAATACTTAAATACATAACCCACTGCTGATAAACACTGTCGCTTGAGGGTACAGAGGGAACAGGTCGAAAGACATACCTGGATTGTTTGGCTCTGGTAGACTTTAATTACGTGAAAACTGAAACTGTAAATTCCTTTCCTTGGTGCTACAAAGACAGACTCCAGGGTGAAAAAATTACCCACATTTACTAGGATCTACAAATAAAAAGAATAAACAACAGTCAATTATTACAATATTCTCTTCTGTAAGTAAAATAAGTTTTCCTCCTTCCTTTTTCTTTTCCTTTCTTTTTTCTTTCTTTCTTAAGAAAGAAAACTAACTTTTAAAACCATAGAAAATAAAACATTGAGTTCTATTCCTTTTTCTTTAGTGACTTGGAAAATGGATTTGTATATTGGAAGGTTCTTCTGTCTTTTAAATGGTATAAGAAAAAATAAAGTAACAGCTTTGTAGTCATGCCTCAATTCCAGCAAGTCCCAATGGCTCTGGAAACATCTAGAAACATGTGAAGGCTTATAAATACTAGCTTTACCTTGAGAGTCAAATAAAAGGCTTCTGCCACATATTTACGTGCCCACCCTCTATGAGCCTTCACAGTGTCCAGAGGCGACGTGTCCAAGCCAGCCAACTGGCATCCATGGGCTCTCTGCAGTCATTCCCGGACACACCACACAGAGGTCTGGACACTCCCTCCACCGTGTGACATAATCCATGACACTGAACAGTTGGTACACAGAGTGAGCTGAATGCCCAGCCCTCCTCTGAGGCTCTGCCAAACCTCTGCTAAGCCCCACGGCCATTTGTTTCATTCCTATGCCATCCAGGCCTTAATTATAATATTTTGGCAATGACTCAGCCTTTGCAGGCTGCCAAAGAGTAGAGACTGTGAAATAGGTGGCCTTCTTGTGCTGCTCCCAGTGTTACCGTCATCCATTCCCTTATCAATCACCTGCTCTTTATTTAAAGTTCAAGGGGCAAAAACGAAGAGTGAGATAAAGCACTGGTTCCCAAGAAAACAACAGTGCACTCTGTATTCCGAAATGTTCGGCCTGATTCTACTGGTTATGAAATTAGCTCTGAATTTCAATAAGTGACCTCATAAGCTAAATGTCACATAGGTATGACCCTTCCTATGAAAAAGAGCAGGAGAATGTATGTGTGTGTGTGTGTGTGTGTGTGTATTGCAGGGGCGGAGGGCAGGAGACAACTAGGGTTTCTTCCATAAGTGGCATTCAAAAAAATCAGATGCCCTTCTAAAGATACATTTCCCCTATATCAATGGCAATCTGCTACTATCTCTTTTAAACACTACATTCATGCTAATATTAAGCCCTTTGCATAATTCCCTAAAGACATACTATTGCCTGTGAGCAATGCACCAGAATTATAGTGATGGTCAGGTAGCTGTACCAGGCTCAACCCCCAAATTAAAATGTATGTTTGTGTATCATTTTATTCTGAGATTACACCATTTTCCAAGTAAGCATCAGATTTCTTTCTCTGACCCGAATGATCAGTGGTCTTTCAACAACAAATCACAAGCTATGCAATAATTCCTAACAGAGATTTTACAAAGATTTGTTTAAGCGCATTCAAAATAATTTGAGGTACTTAGCAGGGACTTCCTGAATCAGATACAAGTAGCATAATTCATTAGCAATAATGGAACTGGCTGATTAGTGTTGACTACACATAAGGCTGGATGCTGACTCTACATTGTAATTAGAGCATCCAAGCACATCGAGATTTATAACTAAATGTGTCTTGTTGTCTCTAAGATGCATGGGCACCCGGAACAGAAGAACAAACCCCTCTCCTCTTCTAACTGACAGAAAGGTCACTGAAAAGAATGCACTGTACAGAGGATAGTGCGATGTCCACAGTATTTAATTAATGCATTGACATACAAACCAGGGGTCGTGCTAGACTTCATTTACATCAAGACGGAAAATACTGCACCAAAACCCCAAAGGGGCTGCTTAATTCTTTTAAAATGATGGCTATTCAATAGGAAGCCCCAGAGAGGCATTCTCTGTCTTCCGCCAGCTGGAGAGTATATTACTTAGGAACAATTAAGTAAGGAATAGAAATGTCACCTCATCCCTTCCCTGGCACGTCCTGCAGCACCACTTAACCTGTGCTCTTGCCCATGGGGCACACAACTGTGAACTACACATACGACTTTGGAATTTAAAAGACTCTGGGTGCTGTTGACGTTGAAATGATACCCCTGGAGTCTGATTTCAGTTTTAAGACTCCTTACTAAGCTGATATCCTGGGGTTTCTCATCAGCCAAACGCCAGAGCTCCAGATCGCTAAAAAAACAAGCCACAGCTTTCATCAGTTCCTCCCCCACCCCCTATCCTCAGCCCCCAAGTCTGTCTTTCCCCACTAATTTGCATGTCTCTGGAAGGACCGGAGCAGGGGAAGGGAGAACGGCTCCCCAGCGCTTCCCTATGGGAGCTCAGTGCAGCTGCCCGATTCCTTTTCCTCTCCTTCTCTCAACTTTTCTCCAAGTAGCAGAGAAGGGCTTTCCGCTGCAGCGGTACCTGCAATGTATATGGGGATCCTGGCGGCGGAAAGGTGGGCGAGATGAGACCGGGGCCACAGCTTCCCACACTCCCCAGCCACCCGCGAGATCTCTGCAGAGATCTCTTTGGGGAGACGCTTCTCTACCTGGGAGAAACAAATCATTTTTCCAGCATCAGAGAGAGTACTGTGCCCGAGAATGGCCTCGGCGGCACCCGCAGAGGAGTCTGAGCCAGGGGGCCAAGCTCTGGCCAAGAGATTTCGAGGTCCAGGGACCAGGATCCTGCCAGGTCCTATGGACCTGTTGCTGTTAAACTTGTGCTGAGCTCTCGACGCCCAGCTCTACACCCCCGGCCTCTCTCCCACCACCCCAGCAGCTCTTCCGGAGGCCCAGAGGGAACGGGGCGGGGGTGGGGGGTGCGGGGTGGTGGCGGGAGAGACATCTGAAGTTTCAGACCAAGAGCTTTGCGGAGGCGAGTGCCGCACGATCCCCCACATCGCAATCAGAGCAGCTCAACCCGGGTCTGAGCTGCCTGGACATCGCTCCTCCCGCCACCGGACTCCGGACACCCCGCATCCCTCGGGGTCTGACCTGATCGAAGTAAATGATGCGCGTCTTGTTGCTCATCTCCGATGGCTCGTGGTTGGTGCTCCGCACCGCCGAGAAGGCGACCTTGGAGTTAGCCGCCCGGACCGAGATCCCCAGAGGGGAGGAAGAGGAGCCCTTGGAGTCCGTGGCCGGGTTCGAGTCGCACACCACGAGGCACTTGCCTTCCAGCACGATGGGCTCCGTGTCGTTCTGCGCCCAGACGGCCAGCCCGGGCAGAGTGAGGGCCAGCAGCACAGCCGGCACCACGGACAGCGCCCGGCCCCCGGAGCCCATGGTGAGCCTCGTGGGCAGCCGGCTGGCGCTTCTGCTCGCCCGCGACGCCTCCTACCCCGGTACCCCGGAGCTCGGGAAGATGCCCGTGGCTAGATCGACAGCGCTGCGGGAACGGCGGCGGCGGCGCGCACACTTCCAATCCTGTGGTTTGAAGTCAAAGTCTCCCCTCGCGCTCTCTCGCTGGCTCTGCTACCTTTGTCCTTTAAGGAGCTCATGCAGAACCCCCTATACCCCACCCTCCTCCGCCCAAGAATCAGCCCTGCCTGGGGCCCCTGCACCCACCCTTGTTCCTAGACATCTAAAAGTCACCAAACCCTCACATTCACACCTCAAAGAGGAAAATGATAAATTCCCCAAACCCAGTCACCCCCGGGTGAACCACGAAGCAGGAAAAACGAAGGAGACTCAGAGAAGCCACGGGGACGGTGGATGCCGAGCGGTGCCCGTGTCGGTCCAGTACGTGTCTGGCTCGCGGCAGGGACGAATTACAGAAGCAGAAGGTGTTTCCCGGATTGGGAAGAACGCGAGGCTGTGTTCATGGCCAGGTCTCTAGCGACTCTCAATTTCGCTTAGCCAGAAATTCCCCAAAGCTTGGTGTCTCTCGGAAGTCGGCAGCTGCGCACTGGCTGGCCGGGTCCCCAGCACGGAAAGCACGAATTCGCGGGATCAGTTCTCAGCTGCAGGGCGGCTCGGCCGGTGGGGTCCTCTCCTGCGTCGGCCGCACGCCCGGAGTCCCTGCGCACAACTTTCTCTGTCCTCGCGCAGCCGGGAGAGCGCGAGGCGGGCACACGCGCGCTATTTATAGGAGCGCACGTCCGGCTGGGGTTGGCTTCTAGCTCAACCCGCCGGCTCCCGGGAAAGGGGAAGAAGGAGTCCGGTGACCCCAGCTGAGCAGCTGCTGTCTGGCGCTTAACGCACCCCGGGGCAAGCGGGGCGCACAGCACTGCTGGCTGCCAGGGTCTGCGGCCACCCAGCCCCGGGGAGCGCGCAGCTGGGAGACTGTACCCAGGGAGAGGCGCCCGCCGCCCTGCGCCTGGCCCAGCTCCGCGCCTGCTCGCTCCCTCCTCGGTCTGGGCAGGCGGAGGGGGCTGAGGCTCCCCTCGCCCCTCCCGAGCACCGGACTCCGCCGCCGAGCGCCCTCCGAGCGGAGCGCGGCGCTGCCAGCCCCGGCTGCGAAGCTGGATGGGCGGCAGCGGCCTCGCGCGGCGCGCTGCTTGGCACCTGGGGACCCACGCCGCCGTCCCGACCGCGCCTTGCCCAGAGACTGCCTCCCCAAGCCCTAGGGCCTGGCGAGCTCCGGGAAGCCTTGGGACGGACCAAAGCCGCTGGGGGCCACTGGGAGAAGGTGCCTCAGGCCTTCCGCTCCGGGAAGAGGAGCCTCAAAAGCTTCTGGGCGCGCCTTCCCACCCACACCGCGAATCCACCCCAGGCAAAGCCAGAAAAAGAGAGAGGGAGTTAACGCAGCAAGAATCAGCCCTCCGGAACCTTCCCCCTAAAAAATGCCAACCCCCTCCTGAGAATACCCCACCTTTCTCCCTCTTGATGTTCCTCGCCCTCCCCCCGCCCCGTGCCACCCCATTGCCACCTTGGCCTCTGACTGGCAAGGTTTATCTTCCTCTTCCAGCAGCCATCACTGGGAGGGAAAGGCTTGTCTCTCTGATAGGCTGCATGAACTTGGCCAAGTCACTTACCCTTTCTGAGAGAGGGATTCCACTAATTAAGGTCCCATCAGCCCGCTGGTTCTATGATGCTTTGGAGTCATGTCACTCCCTTCCCAAATTCCTTTTAGTGTCCCAGCTGCCAGAGGACAGGCCCCACATCTTTAATCAAAACAGCATCCCCATCAGCCATTCAGAGCTCCTAGAAATGTACTGACTAATTATTCATTGAAGGGGTGTTTACTGAGCATTGTCTCCCGTACAGATGGCTTTCTAGTCCTTCCTGAAAGAAGAACAGCCTCCTTAGCATGGATTCAAGTCCCTCCACAACAGAAGCCAGACCAGCATCTCCAGGCTTGTCCCCTCATTAAGGCCCTTCCAAAGGGCTGGGTGTTGAGCCAGAAGCATTGCACTGCAGCTCCAATTGTTAAAATAGTAAATACTCCTACTGGTTGGTATTTCCCTAGCCCTTAGCTCCCTATAATCTTGCAACTAAAGAGTTGGTGCCTGGAGCCAAAGGGGCCCCCAGATTCTCCTCCAATGGGGCCAGTATCAGTTCTGCTTTCCAGGTGCTCCTGCTGTGCTAGTTGTAACAATGTTGAATGTCACTAATCTAAGCTACAACCAAAAAGAGTGAACTGGTGCCTTCTGAAAACGGCCACCATTTCCCCCAGCCCAAGCCGAGGGTAGCTTTTCACCTGAACCCTTGCTGCACTTTGTAACTCTCTCCCGGCTTCTACCACAGTTTGCCTGGACAGCAGCTGAGATTTCTTCTCGTTTGATGCTGCCTTTGGAGGACAGGGGCTGGGTCTAGTTTGGTTCCCGGCTTGCGAAAGTAATTTGCCTTCCTTGTCCAAAACAGCTGCTTAGTAACTAAGACCTGGGCTGTTCAATTTCAGGCTGGAAGGAGTTTGAGAAAAAAAGCTCTGTTGACTACAGAATTGTTAAATTGTCAATAAGTTGTCTTCCCTACCAACCCCAATATATTATCTCTGTGTCCTTTTCTTCTCTAGGCATTTTTCTTTCTGCAAGAACTCAGATTTAAAGAAACGTCTTCCCTCCCTCCTCTTTTCCTCTCCAAAAGTACTCATTTCCTAGCCCCCTAATCCAGCAGAGTGACCATATCAGGGACTCAATAATTGATTGTGAAATGATTGGCTCTCCAGATAGAATGTCAGTATCAGTCATTCACCTTATAGTATAAACTGGCTTAAATAAATCTCTCTCGGTAAAATTTAAATTCAGGCCTCCTGGGTAACTGGAGATGAAAGTCTTGGCTTCTTACTAAAAGATGTTCCCCTATTCAGGGTGTTCTAAAGATGTGGAACACCACATTTTCTTTGACTCCTCCTGAGAGACCCTATCTGATATTGTAAAGCACAGAGTCCTGTCTCCCTTTCCCACCATGGGCGATTGAACAAGGATAGCCCCTGTATTCTAGGGCTGTCAATCCATTTGATGCCAGAGATCCATGACTTATATGTCCTGACTCAACCAGATAAGGTGGGGCTGCTAGATTTTCTCTCTCTAGGATCTGAATGGGACACTGATATGGCTTCCAGTAAGCACTGGGTCCTGCAGAGGAGAGGTCTATAGTCTCCTGAACTGGCCGTCTAAGGGCCATGTCAAGTTTAAGCAGAGGAGCATGCCGGAAGAAATAGGAGGACGGACCACACTTGTAGACGGGGGCCGATTCTCTGCACTTCTGAGAAATGGAAGGGGTGAGGGAGTGAACAGTAAATCTCCAGCTCGTTAACTCCTACTCACAAGACATCCAGCAACCTGGAGTTTCTTGAGAGCCTCCTGCATCCCTGTTAATAAAACTGATTTCACTTGAGCTAGTTTTAGTAACCTACTACTGTTCCTTGCCATCCAGAATCCTCATTAGAACAATGTCCCAGAAATCATACCACATAAGCCCATGCATCTCCTGCCAAAAGACATTAACAAATCCAATCCCCTGCCTGTGGGAAATGTTTTCCTAACATTTTGGGAACGGAAGCATCACCTGCTCCCCAGCCCTACTCCAGCCCCAGCATCCCCAGGCGGAAAGAAACAGGATCAAGTCCAAGTTTCATTCCAGCCACAACACAGATCTCTCTCCCTCCCTCCCTTCCTTCCTTCCTCCTCCCTCCCTCTCTCTCTCTCTCTCTCTTTCTTTCTTTTGGAAGATGTACTATTTTAAGAACCTAGTTGTGATTGTGACCCAAATGTTTCACTTTCCTGAGATTCCCAGATTGCATTTGATGCTAGGAGTTTTGTTGCTAGACCTTTAGCAATTTCATTTCTCTGCGCTTGTGCTCAACGTAAAGTAAATTAGTAGAAGTAAATTAAAATCTGAACTGGTCTTGCATAGGAAAGCAATACTCCTGTGGTCAGTAACATTCCATTGTATTTACATACCTCATCTTCTTTACCCATTCATCCATCCATTCACGGACATTTAGGTTGCTTCCATGTCTTGGCTATTGTGAACAGTAGCACTATGAACATTGGGGTGCATGTATCTTTTCAAATTAGAGTTTTCATCTTTTCCGGATATATGTCCAGAAGTGGGATTGCTGGATCGTATGGTCACTTTATTTTTAGTTTTTTAAGGAACCTCCATACTGCTTTCCATAGTGGATGCACCAATTTACATTCCCACCAACAGTGTAGGAGGGTTCCCTTTTCTCCATATCCTCGCCAGCATTTACTATTTGTAGACTTTTTGACGATGGCCTTTCTGACTGGTGTGCAGTGATACCTCATTGTAGTTTTGATTTGCATTTCTCTAATAATTAGCGATATTGAGCATCTATTCATGTGCCTATTGCCCATCTGTTTGTCTTCTTTGTAGAAATGTCTCTTTAGGTCTTCTGCCCATCTTTTGATTAAGTTGTTTGTTATTTTTGATAGGGGGCGTGAAATGTTTCATCCATGCTTAGGTCCAAGAAAGGGAGGCCAATGAGGCAATGGGGATTTACTGGAAGGACTGTATTTTACAGAGTCCAAGGGCAAAACTGACCCTTGGGAATGTAATGAAGCCTTGTGGATAACTCAAAATGTTGCCTTTCCTCTATCTATCTATCTATCTCCGTCTCTCTATCTTTCTCTCTCTTTGGCACATCTGCATTATTCTTTTGCTCACTGCAATCTAGCCTTCTCTGAAGCCTACATGATAGACGGTGGCAACTGACACTCCCAAATTTTACACATAACAGATCCATCCACCCAGAGGATGCCCCCAAATCCCAGGGAAGAGACTCACTGCCCCATCTGGGATCACATGTCCGCCCCTTGCAGTGCACCCACAATGATTCCCACAACTAGGTATGTGGAAAATTGGAGCAGGGTCCAGAGGAGAGTACAATTCCTAAAAAATGCTACAAGTAATATGTGGTGAAGTGAAAAGGAACAAGATACAGATTAATTTGTAATGTGTGACTCCATGTTAACAGACTGTAATTGTATATAGATATGGATATGTTTGAAAAAGCAAAGGAAAACTATGAAAGGCTAGACAGCAAATTGTTAACAGTAGAGAAACAGAATAAAAGGAAAAGAAACTGTTAATTTTACTTCAGCTGTTTATGATTTGGATGGCCACAGTAATCATATATTACCTTGTGATTCACATTTAATACAGTTTTTTAAAGGAAGAGGGTGCTGGGAAGACCACCCAATAGAAATCTACTACATTGACTTTTTTCATAATTTAAACTTAAAGTTTGGAGAGAAAAGGAACTAACATTCCTTCTCATAAGCAGCACTGGTTGAAGAGCAATTTCCTTTCTTTTGTTATATTGATCCAACTCTAAAAAATCACTCACTCAAAGTCTAGGAAGATGCCCAGACATATAAAGCCTCCCAGTCTACATTTAAGAAAAAAAAGTACATTGCAAACTGGTAAAGCTCATGAGTCATATCAAAATAGCTGATTACATTTTAGATTCAACTCAGCATGGTATGTGCCTGTGGCCATGTTAGTTTCAGTTGAAACTAACTGAAGGAGGATCTGAATGTAGAGTCCAAACCAATAGCTTCTACTCTTAAGAATCTGCTGGGAGGGGCTTCCCTGGTGGCGCAGTGGTTGAGAATCCGCCTGCCGATGCAGGGGACGCCGGTTCGAGCCCCGGTCCGGAAAGATCCCACATGCCGCAGAGCAACTAACCTGTGCGCCGCCACAACTACTGAAGCCCGTGTACCTAGAGCCCATGCTCCGCAACACGATAAGCCACCGCAATGAGAGGCCCGCGCACCGCAATGAAGAGTAGCCCCTGCTCGCCGCCAACTAGAGAAAGCCCGCGCGCAGGAACAAAGACCCGACGTGGCCAAAAATAAAATAAATAAATTAAATAATTAAAAAAAAAAAAAGAATCTGCTGGGAGGCTTATGACCAATGCAGATTCTCTGGCCCTCGTCTGAGAGGACAGCTCTGCCCACTTCGTGGGAATCTGTTTCTTAACTAGCACCTGGGTGAATCTGAAGCAGACGGTGCTTTGACTTTGTAGATGCCACTGGTGGGGTGCATCCCCCAAGGGTCCATGTGCGGTCAGGTTCATTATCCCTTTGGCTGAAAATAGGGCATTTAGAATCAGCTTCACCTCCTACTAGCTTTACGACCACGGG